CAAAATAGCAACACCTCAAAAACAAAATTGCAGAAAAAATGAAAGATGGAGGAAAGTAGAGCAGCGAAAAGAATGAACAAAAGAAGGAAGAGAGAGGGTAGAAATGAAAGAAGGAAAGAGAAAAAAGAAATAAAATATACATATATATATGTATATATGTGTGTGTGTGTGTGTGTGTGTGTGTGTGTGTGTGTCTACACCCCATATATATGGACATATATAACCACCTATATGCACCTTTATATATGCCTATATTAAAAACTAAAAATGATAATGAAATTAAAAAAAAAACAACCAACACAAGCAATCAACAAAAAGCTCCCTAGAACACTCAAAAGAGCCCAATTAACAACAACAACAACAACAAAAAAAGAAGCAACCACTGCCTGTTTCGGCTGAAGTCCATGCCAATCTCTCCCCAGGTTTTCCTCTGCTATACACAAACTCCTCTATGTCTTGTGGGGGCCAAGCCAGCTGCCTGGCACCTAGAGTGACCCTGGTAACACAGGTCTATTTTAGATGAGTAGGGTTATGAGTTGTGATTGGTAGTTTTTATAAAGTCAATGCCATTTCTGCTTTTGCCTGCCCGGAAGCACCTCGAGTGCCTTTTAGCTAGAGGGCTGGATGTGTGTCTTCGGGCACTCTTTTCACTGGAGGCTTTTTTGGGGGGTAGGGGGGTATTTCAGAGCTGCTAGAAGCGACCTGCCAGGGGTCTGCCTGTGACGACTCAGTACAGGAATCATCAATAAGATTTACAGCCGATTTCTCATCAGAAATTAGGGTGGCCAGTAAGAAGTGGAATGACATTTAAAGTTTGAAACAAAAAAATCTACCAGGAATTCATTATCAGGCAAACTGCTTCAAAATTGATAGTGAAATTAACAGATTGCACAATAAACAAAAGCTGAGGGACCTCCCTCTGTTAGATTTTTCCTACATGAAACACAAAAAGTTCATTTGCCTAAAATGAAAGGACCCTGGCAGTACCTCAAAGCCATAGGAACAAACACTGGTAAAGATAACTATATAGGTAAATATAAAGGCCTGTGTTATTTTAGTTTGGGGTTTTGAACTCATTTTTTTCTGTATGACTTAAAAGTGAAATGTGTTAAACAATAATTATAAATCTATCGAGTGAAAGATATATAACAGTAATTTTACACTGTATAAAGAGAGGCAGTACAGGAGCAATTGTTACGTGCTATTAAAGCTAAGTTAGTATCAACTGAAACTCAAGTATTATTAGTTGAATATCTAAGCCCCAGGGTAAACCCTAAGAAAATAAAAGTTTGGTTATGTAAATATGAAGGGAATCAAAATGGTACACACACAAAGACAAAAGGATGGAAGGGAGGAATTACACAGCAAAGAAGATTAAATTAGAAAGCAAACAGCTAAATGGCAGGAGTCATTTCATTATATGTAAATATATTAAACACTCCACTAAAAGGCAAAGATTGGAAGACTGTATTATTTAAAACAAAAGAAAAAAATTCCACTATATGTTGTTTGGAAAAGTCTCATTTTAGACACACAAATAGGTTGAAAGTATGGAAAAAGATAGTGTGTGCAAAAACTAACCAAACGTAGCTGGGCCGCTATACAAATACTAGACTAAATAGACTTTCAAGATATTTGTGGTGAGGACCACAAATAACCAAAATAATCATGAAAAAGGAGAACAAAGTTGGACGACTTAGAATTTCTGAAGTCACACCTTACTACAAACCTGAAGTGATCCAAACTGATTCTGACATGAGGATAGAAATATAGATCAAAAGGGCAGAACTGATAGTCCACATATAAACCCATACTTACGTTGTTAATTCCTTTTCTAATATATTGGGTTGTCAGAAGAGTCATGACGTATTTTTTCTGCTTTTTGTTGTAAAAGTGCAGCATGACTTTTCCGACAACCCAATAGAAGGGTGCCGAAAACATTAGCTGGGAAAACAATAGTCTCTTAAATGGTGCTGGGATAAGTGGATATCCACATAAAAGGGAATGAAATTGAACCTCTACCTTGCACTATATGAATTAATTAATTGAAAATGAATCAAAACTAAATATAAAATCTCTTAGGTGAAAATATAGGAATAAATCTTGACTTTGGGTTTGGCCAGGGATTTTTAAATATGACACCAATAGCAAAAAAGAGAGAAATTAAGATAAATTGGTCTTCATCAAAATTAATATATTTTGTGCATTGAGCAACATTATTGCATAAATAAAAACATAGTCTACCAAATGGGAGAAAATATTTGCAAATCACATCTTGTAAGGGTCTACTCTTTATACTACATGAAGAACTCCTACAGCTTAACAATGAAAATACAAATAACCCAATTAAAAAATGGTCAAAGGATTTTGATACACATTTCTCCACTGAACATATACAAATTGTCAACAAGCACATAAAAAGCTGTTCAATAAAATTAGTCATTAGCAAAATCAATACCACAGTGAGATATTTTATCCCTGCTAGGGTGGTAATAAAAGGGAGAATAACAAGTGTTGGTAAAGATGTGAAGAAATAAGAATCCTGGTACATTGCTGATAAAATGGTATAACTGCTGTGGGAAACAGTGCAGCAGATCCTTAAAGAAATTAAAGTGTGTTGGGGTGATAGTGGTTAGTAAAGTTACATAGGTTCCAGGTATACAGTTCTGTCATACATCATCTATATATCACATTGTGTGTTCACCACCCAGAGTCGGTCCCAGTAAACTTTAAAAAAATAAAATAAATAAAGGAAAACTGTAAAAACAAAAAAAATTAAACTGTGTTACCCAGTAATTCCACCCTTAGGTTTATACCCAAAATAATTGAAAACAAATGTTGAAATCACACACTTGTACATGAAAGTTCGTAGCAGTACTATTTATATTAACCAAAAGGTGGAAACAGCCCAAAAGTTCATGACCACCTGAATGAACAAACAAAATTTGGTGTAGTCCTACAATAGAATGTTATTCAGTCATAAAAAAGGAATGTAGTCCTCATACACAGTACAGCATGGATGAACCAAAAACATTGTTCTAAGTGAAAGAAGCCAGACACAAATGGTCACATTTCATATGGTTTTTTTTTTTTTTTACCTGAGTCATCCTGCCACCTGTTGGCAGCTCAGCGGCAGCTCAGCTCAGGCCGGACTTGAAACGCTGTTGCTCAGAGCTCAAACCTTTGAGCGAGCTCTTAACCAACTGAGCCACTCAGCCGGCCCACGATTTCATTTTTATGAAATATCCAGAATGGGTAAATCCGTAGAAATAGCATTAGTTTTTGCCAGAGACTAGGGGGACAGGTGAATGGGAAGCAACTGCTTAACGCGAAAAAGGTTTCCTTTGGGGCTGATAAAAGTGTTTTTTAATTAGGTATGATAATTATACATTGTGAATTTATAAAACGCCACTGAATTGCTCTTGAACATGGCTAACTTTGTATTCCGTTAATTTTATTTGGGGAAAAAAAATTAGTGATGTATAAAACCATCATAATTGTCTTGAAAAAAAGTAGTGATGTACAAATCCCTCAACACTCATTCCAACCAAGTTAATTTTTGCACATCTGTACGTCTCTCATTTTGTTTCTTAATAAGAACTTTCTCCCTGTCCACTTGGTGAAATGTTTTTTTCTTTCAGGAATGGTTGACATTCAAGGACGTGTTCATAGAATTCTCTCAGGAAGAGTGGGAATGTCTGGACCCTGCTCAGAGGGCCTTGTACAGAGACGTGATGTCTGAGAACTATAGGAACCTGCTCTCCCTGGGCAAGGGTAACTTCCCTCCAGAGATCGGTAACTCTCTTTATATGTCTGTGTTTTCCCTTGTGAGTCTCTTGGGAGCCCCTGACTTGCTTGTCTGTGTTTCAAATCCCTGTTCTTAGGACAGTGATTGAAGCTGTTTTGATCCAGAAGGAAAGGGTTCCTCATGAGGCATATGGACTTTCAATTTCCCTTTTTCTTCAAACGTTCTGCCCATTTTATGTTGATTAGTGCTGGTTGCAGAACATTAGAAGACAGTAAAACCTTATGGCAAATTTTTAAGGATATCTCATTCCATGGTTTTTACCCTTGTGCTTTTGATTCAATAGTTCTTGGGAAAGGGATAGATTTTTACATAATGAAAAGAGTCCCTGAGCATTCAGAAGGGGGGAATCAGTTACTAATTTTTAAAATAATTTTTGACATCCATTTATAATGTCCTCTCAGTGGAACAAGAAGCTAGAAATACGTTCTGGAAAAGAATGGTATCATGTTCATTTTTCTTTATAAATTGAAAACTTCTTGAGCTGAGTCCATTTTGGAACAAGGGAAAGCGCCCTGAACCTGGGAAGTGAAGGGAAAATGGGGAAAACGCCACACAGGTGGGAATGTATGGAGATGTGAACACAAATAGGAGCTCAGATGGGCACAGAGTAAGCCACTCCACTAAATAAGGTTTGGGAAACTATTCCCAAATGGGAAAGATATGTTGGAAAATAAAAGATTGTCTTAGGAGCTCTCAGAGGAAATGTTCCCCCGTACAGGCACGCACATATCATTCTGTCATTGAAATGTGTAGTTTAAACTCCCAGTCTACCATGATGGTCCAACTCAGGCTTCATCCTGACTTACAACTCTTGTTATCTGGCCCCTCTGACCATTTGGTGCCTTGGTTTCAGAGGGACTGGGATGGCTGTCTCTAAAGAGTCCTGTTTTTCCTTGATCTCTCTTGGTTCTCAGTCCAAGCAGATCAGTGCTTGCACTCTGCAGTCCTGACTCCAGGACCTACTCAGTTTCCATTCACATTTTATATTCTTGAGAGACCTTCATAGGAGATAGAAAAACGAAATGGCTGTTCTTCCTGTGTATCAGGTTCCATGAAATTTCCTGGGCCTGTGTCAGCCCTCTGTGCCTATTCAGGCCTCTCAGCCATTTCTTCATTCTCTTTTTGCCATATGTGTTTAAGAGGAATGGGGTGGATCTTTTGAGGTTGATACAAGTTAATATAAATAATTGACACTGAAATCCTCTCTTTGATTTCATTGCTATGTGGAAGTATAGCTCAGTCTTTCCGATATTCACCCTACAGCCTGTGGGCAGAGCACACAGCCCCTTCTCAAGAACCCACACAATTTCGCCCTTTTATTTTACTCCCTTATCTTGTAGTTTTCTCCCTCTTCCAACTCTCCACATAGTCCAGGAACATAGAACGATGTTGGTCTTCCTCAGTTCTTAATCTCTAAGGTTTTGCCTCTAAAACATGCTCTTGAAATGCACATTTCAGGGATCTAAAGTTTTATCGTCATTTTCTCTGTGGTAACCCACCTTTAGCTGATAGACAACTTCTGGTGAACTGCATCATGCAAAAGGTTTCCTAGGTAACAGAAAATTCTTAAAGGAGAACAGTGATTAATGCATCACAATATTATCCTGCTACATACAGAAGTGTCTCTTAAAGCCACTGGGAAGAGTGGTCAGACTGAGATAGAAAGTATCAAGAGAGCCTGAGTGATGAGTGCCTCCAGTTTGGTTTTTTTTAGTTTTTGTGGCATTTAACAGTGCCTCCCTAGGGCAATGTGACAATGTCAATGAGACATAATATCACCTCACTATAAAAGTGTAGCAGCTTATCCTAAGGAGAACACCTTCCAAGTTCACCACCTAATGTCTGTGAGACTGTTGACCAAACTATTGTTCCTACCACATTGTTCATCCTGTGTGTGTGCTGTTGTTTATTCACCTTCAACATACATGATTTTGACACATCTTATTGAGGGAGCTCATAAAGTTGAATGATGTCTCCATTTCTTGCTCTACCGTATTTTGGCTTTTTAAGCCACTGACACTTTTATCTTGCAAATTTCATTGTGAATCAGTGACTTTGCTTTTATTTAATCATCAGTTCCATATATTCAATGATACTCTCAGTGGTTTTTTGGGGTTGTTTTTTTTTTTAAATTGGGGAATTGGGGGAGGGGAACAGCACTGGGGAATCGGGGGAAGGCGAACAGACAAGTTGCTATCATTTTTTATTCTTCAGTCTAGTTGTGGAGGATGTTGCTTCACTGGCCCAAGCTGGCACCATCATTGCACTTTTCCCGGGCAAGGCAGATCAGTCGCTGGCCTCTGGACATCCGCTCATGGCGGCTGCTGGCCACTCACGCTGGCTGCCAGCTACACACGGTAGTTTATGGCAGCCCACTGCAGCAGAGGACTGCAGCCTATGCCGTCGCCGGCGACTCATGGCAGCCCAGCTCCAGGTCGAGCTGTTGTTCAGCATCTTAGCTGTAGAGGGCAGTGTCACCAGCCCTCATATGTGGGCTCTGAACCGGGGCCCTCTGGCATCCCAAGCCAGTTCTTAACCAATGCACCACTCGGCCAGCCCCTCTCAGTGTTTTGTATATCTACAGTTTGGGACTGTGGAGTCATTGTTTTCACACACGTTTTTTTCAAGTAAATCAATGGCTTTTTTTTTAAGTGAGAATTTTCTATATCTTGAGAACATACTTTTTTTTTTTAATTTAGTTATGGTCTTAGTTAAAGAAATAGCATTCAATCAATTTGCCATTGTTTTTTATATAAGATGCACTTTTTTTCCCATATATATAGTTTTCTAAGAGTAACTTTTGAATTTTATTTTAATTTTACTGACATTTTTGTTGTTGTTGCTTTAAATAATTATTTATCCTTTCTGGATTCATCATGCACATCTTGGTATACTAACCTAATATTTAAATATATCTCATTTTATTTAATAAAACATAGGCAATTTTTTACAATCTGTGTTTTCCTCATTACTACTACTTCTAATGCATATGTTTCCAGAAAATTTCTTAAGTTTTTGTAATTACATATTTCATTTAATTCATGAAACCTGTTTTGTTCCCTGTCCTCTTTTTCAACTGAGTTTTATACAGAGTCACCTGGTCCTTGTTGACGTACGTGTCACTGCTGTCCTGTTGTTCTGGCTGTTACTGGCTGCTTCTGTGGCTGATCACATCTGTGCACATAGACCTTTGCCATGGATCACCGTGGCACTGCCAGACCTTGTCCATACGATTGGACGCTGCTCCTAACACTGCCCACTTGTCCTCTCTGTCCTCTGACCTAGTGTGGATCATTTTATGACCTTAAATCTTCTAAAGTTACTGGAAGTCTTAAGAAATGAAGGTAAGAATTATCCAAAAGATACAACTCATAAAACAATGCTCTAAACCTGATCCGTTTTTTTTAAAAAAAGTCACCCCTCTCCTGCCCTCTGTCTCCCTTTATTTTTGCATCACCTCAAAGAAATTTAGAAACAACGTCCTTGCTTTATTGAGTACCTATAACTGGCTAACACACCATTTCCAACAGTAGATTATAGGGTAGCATTTTGGTATAATTTCAGGGTCAAAGTAAAATGACTCAATTTTCATATGTATCTTTAGTCCTTATAAACACTCAGAAGCTGGGTCTCTTCCTAAAAAGGCAAGGATGCATTAAACTTTTGGACTCCATTTGGAGTCCAAAATCAAATGTCACTAAAAAGAAATGGTTTTTAGTGAAATGTGACCAAATGCATTTCCTAGTTCTAGTTAGCAGCTCTAAACCAGATGTCACATAAGGTGAGAACTGGAAGAGAAATCCAGGCTAGTTCCCCAGGTGGCATGAGCATGAATTCACACACGTGTGATTTCAGCCTGTGCTTAGGTAGTCGACTGCCTTGGGGGTACCAGCTGCAAATTTACCAGGCAGATAGCAAGTAAGTGTGCAGACAAGGACCACTCATCACGAACAGAACTATGTTTCCTGTGTATCTGTCATCGAGAGCTTTAAATGAAATATTTACAGACATGTAAAATCTGTAAGGGAAACACAACTACTTTTTATGTGTTGATGTTGTATCCTGCATTTTGCCACATTTGTTTGGATTATGTGTGTGTTTGTGAATGTGCATTCTTTCGGGTTTTCTAAAATAAAATTCTGTCATCTGTCATGAGAAATTATTTTCTTTTTTGTGTGTGGTTATGATGGGGTTACTTACAATATTTTAAAGATATAATGCTATATTTTAAACTGTCGATTGCAAAACCTACTACTTATCCATCCCTGTATGAACTATGTTATTGCTGTCATGTTAAATATTCTATGTTGTGTAACATTGATTTAAGATTTTATTGATTTTACTTATTTATTTATTTATTTGTTTGTTTTAAAGGTTTTATCGGGAAATGGAAACTGTGTTTTTTTCAGGACTTAATTGGGGAACAGTGTGTTTTTCCCAGGACTCATCAGCGCCAAGTCCAGTTGCCGTTTTCAATCTAGTTGTGGGGGCGTGGCCCACCATTCCATGTGGTAGTGGAACCAGCAACCTTGTTTTTAAGAACATGCGCTCTAACCAACAGAGCCATCCAGTGTCCGGCAGCTCAGCTCAAGTCGTTGTCTTCAGTATAGGTGTGGAGGGTGCAGGTCACTGGCCCATGTGGGAATCGAACCCGCAACCCTGTTGCTCAGACCATCTCAGACCATCAGCTCAGACCTGTTGAGCTCCAACCAGCTGAGCTTTCTGGCTGCCCCTATTGCTGTTATTTTTTAACATTCTGTACGAGAAATAAAACAGCTCTGTTTTAATTAAACTACAGGTTTTTATATTTGTTTATATGTTTATATTTACTAGAGAGCTTTGTATTTTCATATGGTTTTGTTTAGTTTAGAATCCATTTATATCCTCTAGAAACACTTCCGTTAGCATTTTTTGGGGGCTGGTCTAATGGTGAGCAACTTCTCTGGTTTTTTCATCTGGGAAAGTCTTTATTTCTCTATTGTGGAAAAATACTTTTGCCAGATATAGTATTCTTGGTTGATAGTTTTTATTCTTTAAGCACTTTGAATGTTTTATCTGATACGCTTCTTCCTATAAGGTTTCTGCTGAGAAAACCACTGATAATCTTAGAGCAGCTGTCTTTTACTTGACAAGTTGCTTTTTTGCTTTTGCTGCTTTTCATATTTAGTTTTTGTCTGTGATTCATGATGGTTTGATTATAATGTGCCTATTGATATTTTCCCATTCATCCTCCTTAGAATTCAGTGATCTGCCTAAATTTGTATGTCTCTTTCTTTCTTCAAATGTGGGAATTTTCAGCCATGTTTCATATAAGTGTCTTCTGCTTTTTACTCATCCTCTCCTTATGGAGTCCACTTAATGTGCATATTGGTCGTGTTGTTGATATCCCATGAGTCCTTTAAGCTGTCTTCATTTTTTGACATTTCTTTGCTTCCCTACACCCACAATTTAAAATGAACTGTGTTCAAGTTGTCTAACCCTTTATTCTGCTTGATCAAGTGTTTTGCTGATGCTTTGACTGTATTTTAAAATTCAGGCACTGTATTCTGCAGCTTCCAACTTTTGTGGTTATTTTTCATACTTTCTGTCTCTCTGCATTTTGGTCATGCATCATTTCCTTGACATTTAGTTGTGTGTGTTTTCTTTATTTCCTAATTGAGCATCTTTAAGATAGTTATTTTGAAATGTTTGTCAGGTAATTAATAGATATTCATTAATTTAGGGGCAGTTTCTGGAGATTTATTTTATTCCCCTGGACAACGTTTTTGTATTTGTTTGTATGCCTTGTGATCTTGTTTTGAGATTAGGGTATTTAAGAAAGAGCTACTGTTCCCAGGATTTATGAACTGTCTTTGTACAGGAGAGCATGAATAGCTATCAGCTGTGCTTGGAAATCTAAGGGGTGCCAGACCTCCCTTGGGAAATGTTTATTCTTTGTGTTATCTATATGCATTTTTCCAGTTTTAATGGTTTTGTTTCTTCTTTATAGCCCGTGATATTTTTTTAACACTCATGTATGTCCTCACTATAGCAGTCACAGTGATGTTTGAACAATTACTCATTTTTTTTTGTTACCCACAATGCATTCACAATGTACTCCTTAGCAATGTGTGTCATACAAAACAGAAACAATTCCCTCAGGCAGCTGCAAAAAAGTCAGATCATTAGACACAAAATACACTCATTTTATTTCTCTCAGGAGAAAACTGGAAATTGAGAGGTTTCCCACAATCATTTTATAGGGTGAACAGGTATTGTGAGCAAATGTATGCAATTTTTCTTCCCTCATTAATGTGACTCATTTTGTGCTTTCCTGGGGATGCTGTGATCTCTGACCTGGCTTCTGCTGTGCTTAAAATGGCAGTTGGGTCAGTAGTTCTTGGAAATTTTATCCATAATTGTTCACATCTACATTGAGGAGTGAAGTTTTGGTGCTTCCTATTCTGCCATCTTGCTTAAGTTCTCTGATCAGTATTCTGTACATTAGAATTTAAAGTACAGTAATACCTTGGTTTGCGAGCATAATTTGTTGCAGAAACAAACTACTTGTATTGCAAGACATCGCTCATTTACCAAGTTAAAATGTATTAGAAATATTTACTCATCTTGCAGAACACTTGCAAACCAAGTTACTTGCAACCCAAGGTTTTACTGTATATTCACCTGAGTGTAGTAAATGTGATAATTTATTTGTTATCCTACAGCTATGTCTTCTCAAGAAACCCAGGATTCGTTGCCACCGGCAGGCATAGAAGATTCTTTCCTCAGAATGCTACTGGTAAGATTTGGAGTCATTGGAGTCATTGGGTCTTGGAATGTGAGGGGGAGTGTGAAGGGCAAGAAAGATATGATGATGGACATAACCAAACCGGGATAATTACTCTTAATAAAATTCTTGTTGTCAAAAGAGATCAAGGGTATAAGACAGCTTGGGGGAACTCCCACTTGAAGTTATTTGCATTTGTAGAACATGGTGTGTTTGAACATAAAGACATTTCTTAAAGGTACATATTCTCTGAAAGGAATAGTTCATAGTGTAAATTATCATTTGAATCATTTAATTTGTTGGGTATTTAAGAAAAAGACACAGCTCCCAGGCTTTATGAACACAAATAATCAGTTGTGCTAGAAATTCTAAGGCCCACCAAACCTGTTCAGGGGCTGTGTATTGAATTAAACATTTTTCTGAGATTTCTAAAAATAACAGATTTTAAAGTAAAATAGAAATTCCAAATGTGATGAATTTGAAATTCCTTATCCAAAGATTCATTATTAGTCCAGGGACAAATGATTCCTTCTTGTTTCAAAGTCTCGAATTTTCATAAACTTGGAGAGTCTATACATAACCATCATGATTTAATAGGTATCAGATTATTTAATAGGGAACAACTTTACATGTGTAATGAAATGAGAGCCCTCACTAACGGCTTTTCTATCATCATTTATTACCAGAGTACATATAATGGAGACAGAAGTGTTCAATGCCCTGAACCTTGGAAAAACTTTAACCACGGGTCAAATCCTAGTAACCATCAGAGAACTCAGCTTCCACAGAATTATTGTAAATGTCAGACAATCTTTAACAAAAGCTCAAATATTATTATATGTCAGGATATTCACACTGTAGAGATGACAGACAAATGCAGTGAATGGGCCAATTCTTTGAACCAAACTTTAAATGTAATGAATCATCAGAATATTCATACTGGGGAGGAACCTTGTAATCAGTGTGGAAGAGTCTTTAGTCAATCATCCAATGGACATACACGTAAGAGAATCCATACTGGGGAGGAACCTTACAGATCTGAAGAATGTGGTACAGCCTTTAAATGGCATTCATGTCTTACTAAACATCAGAAAATTCATCCTGGAGAGAAGCTTTATAGATGCAGAGAATGTGGCAAAGCCTTTACCCGGAACTCTGCACTTACTCAACATCAGAGAATTCACACTGGTGAGGCACCTTACAGGTGTAAGGTGTGTGGTAAAACCTTTAACTGGTATTCAAGCCTTACTTTACATCAGAGAATTCATACTGGGGAGAACCTTTACAAATGTAAAGAATGTGACAAAGCTTTTAACCAGCGTTCAAAGTTTATTGAACATCAGAGAATACATACTGGGGAGAACCTTTACAAATGTGGAGGATGTGACAAAGCCTTTCACCGGCGTTCAAGCTTTATTGAACATCAGAGAATTCATACTGGAGAGAAGCCTTATAGATGTAGAGAATGTGGCAAAGCCTTTACCCGGAACTCTGCACTTACTCAACATCAGAGAATTCATAGTGGTGAGAAACCTTACAAGTGTAAGGAGTGTGGTAAAGCATTTAACTGGTATTCAAATCTTGCTGTACATCAGAGAATTCATACTGGGGAGAAGCTTTACAAATGTACAGAATGTGACAAAGCCTTTGACCGGCGTTCAAGGCTTATTGAACATCAGAGAATTCATACTGGAGAGAAGCCTTACGAATGTAGAGAATGTGGCAAAGCCTTTCGCCGGCATTCAAGATTTATTGAACATCAGAGAATTCATACTGGAGAGAAGCCTTATAGATGTAGAGAGTGTGGCAAAGCCTTTAACCAGCGTCCAAACTTTATTACACATCAGAGAATTCATACTGGAGAGAAGCCTTACAAATGTAGAGAATGTGACAAAGCCTTTAAGCAGCATTCAAGCCTTACTCAACATCAGAGAATTCATACTGGTTAGAAACTTACAGATATAAGGAATGTGGTAAAGCCTTTAACCTGTATTCAATCCTTTACAATAGGAAGTTCATACCAGAGAAAATCCTTATAAATGAACAATGTGGCAAACATCTTAAACAGTGCTCAAAATCTACTCAACGTCAGAGAATTCATACTGGTGCGAACTCTTATAGACGTAGACAGTGTGGCAAAGCCTTTAACCAGTGTTTAATCCTTACTCAACGTCGGAGAATTCACACAGGAGAGAAGGCTTTTAAATGCACCTTTTATTTCAAAGCCTATAATCAGCATTCGTATATTACTTTGCATGAGGCAACTCAAACTGGAGCAAAGCCTTACCGATGTAGAGACTATTCAAAGCCTTTAGTCTCCCTCAAGGTTTACTCAGATCTGGTCATTTATACTGGAGACACACAATACAGATGTAAAGAATGTGGCAACAACCTTTCACCAATGTTTAAACCACATTAAACATGAGAGAATTTATACAAGAGAAAAGCCTTACAAATGTAGAGAATGTAGCAAAGCCTTTATCCAGTGTTCAAGCCTTACTCAACATTAGAGAGTTCATACTGGAGAGAAACCTTACAAATGTAAAGAATGTGTCAAAGCCGCTATTTAGTATTTCCATCTTAATTGGCAGGTAAGAATTCATAGTGGCTAGAACCTTAAAACTAAAGAATATGGTAAACCCTGGAACTGGACCTACAGCCATATATTCACTATGAGAGAATGCATACTGGAGAGACATTGTATATTTGCAATAAATATTGAAACACCTTTGAACAAAATAAGCACTTCCAGAATGCCCACAGAATTCAAGAATAAAAGTGTCTTTAAAAATGTAAAAAATATGGGAAAGCATACAAGGTCAGATAATTAAGTTTGCGAACTCATGCTAGAAAAAATGCTACATACTTCATTGCTGAATATCACTGTGGTGCCCTTCAAAGTACTCCCCTTTAGAAGCTGCAGACAGCAGCACCCACTCCACCCTTGAAAGCAACTTTGGAAATCTTTTTCTGGAATGGCCATCAGAGCTGTCGTTGTATTACCGTATTTGCCGGCGTATAAGACGACTGGGCGTATAAGACGACCCCCTAAGATTTCCACTCAAAATACAGTTTGTTATATACTCGCCGTATAAGACTACCCCCTCTTCCGCACACCTTCCACACACCAAATAAAAGGTAAAACAATATCAGATTTGATTTCAACATTTTAATTTATATTCAAATGCTTATGACATGCAGGAAAACTGTCACAAGGCTGTATGTAATCAAACATATACATAAATCGCGATTCGCGATTTTGCGCTATCATACTGGGTGTATGGTCGGCTGTGTGCGATTTTGCGAGTGTGGTAAAATCGCATAACAGCAAAATCGCATAACAGCCGAGCATACACCCAGCAGCGCTGCTGATGCCTGAACGGTATGTGGAATGAAGTGGGCGGGCATCGGGAGGCCACTATGGCACGGGGCAAGCACTATGGGCAGTCTATCTGAAGTGTACCTGGCGTATAAGACAACCCCCCACTTGGAGGCATATTTTTCAGAGCCAAAAAATCGTCTAATACGCCGGCAAATACGGTATGTCCTGAATGTCATGTAAATAGCTTGCTTTCAGTATTTCTTTTATCTTTGGGTAAAGAAAGAAGTCAATGGGGTCCAGATTAGGTGAGAAGGGAGGGTGTTCCAGTACAGTTATTTGTTTCCTGGCTGAAAACTTTCTCATAGACAGTGCCGTGCGAGTTAGTGCATTGTTGTCTTGCAAGAGCCATGAATTGTTGATGAAAAGTTCAAGTCGTTTTCATCTAACTTTTTCACACAACCTTTTCACCACTTCCAAATAGTAAACTTGGTTAACTGTTTGTCCTGTTGGTACAAATTCATAATGAATCATCCTTCTGACAAAAAACGTTAGTAACATCATTGCAAGAAGTTCGAGAACATAATTGTCAGACACATATAATTGAAAATGAAATCTAAGTATCAAAATTCACAGAAGAAAGTTATAAGTCAATGACACTTCAGATATTCCTCTACATCAGAATACTTGTCTTAGAGAATAATCCAGTTTAAAATCTTCAATAAGTTACTTGTTAGGATGCTTCAAAATATCAAGGGAAATGGATGTTTGGATACATATTATTACAATGTATCTTTTATACTCACAGTATTTGAAGTTTTTTGAAAAGGAAATGTTAACGTAATTGAACTGTAAAACCACTCATGCTGTGGCTTTATTACTTGTGTGTATGGGAAGTCATTGCGTTGACTTTTGCTGCCTCAAATATTGAGATCTCTTGTACATTATGTGGGATTGACTCATGTAAAGATTAAGGACAATGTATTATACACAATGTGAAGAAAATCTAAATGAATGCTAGTTGTGGTTGTCTTAGAACGCTGATATAAGTCACCATCAAGTAGGTGTTCAGAGCATTGTCCTTTGCATTAATATAAGACAGAGGAACATTCTGAAGTTCATCTAGTTTTACCAGTTGCCTTTTAAGGGACAAAAGGAGACATTTGACTCCTGATGTATCTTCATAGTAGCCATAGATAAAAGTCATGAATATTATTTCACATGGCTGCAATAAAGAAGTCTTCAGGTATCTGAGAAAATGTTAAGTACCTCATTCCTAAGTGCATTAAATTACTGTATATGTTTCCTAAATAATTACCCCCCCTCATCTTGAAAACCATAGGAAGCACAGCTCTCAGGTAACTAGATCTGAAGAATAGCAGTGCTTCTCAAATGCTTGTCATGCGTATTTGACCAATGATGTACAGTGGTTAGAATAGTCAGATTAGACTATTTAGTCTATATATGAAATTAATATATTTTAGTTAATAAAGCTGAGTGAACATAATATTAACACTCATTTGTAATGAATGAAATGTTATCCTGTCATCAATATTAACCTATTTCACCTTATTTACGTATGTAAAAATATACTAAATAATGCCTGGGGTGCAAAAAAATGTATGCACATGATCTGTATTCATCTTTTGTTATCAGTATATATTGAGTATAACTATTTTAATACGTTTTTCCTTTCTTAAAATGCATATACATTTTTGGGGGCACTCTGTATATACCTCTTTCTCATTGTGGTAACTATTGGGGTGTTATGATGGTTGCAATAAAGATGATACAGGAGTATTTTTAAGAGTTGAGCTAAAGTACTTCATGATATTGTTTCCTTGGCACTCATTTTGTGTAGCTAAGGGGTGTTGAACTGACACACTGCCCTCCACCTAGTGCATACACTAGATAACAGTTCTCCAAATCACAAGTATAATATAAGTTCCTGATACAACTTCTCCAGCAGCCCCTGTGAGCAGTAGTCTCCCTCACATCTCAGGGCCTTCACCTTGTATGCCCCTTAGATAACATCTCTGTAGAGTTTACTTATACCTTGCTGATTTTGGTTTGAATTGAACAACCTGGATCTAGCCATACAACCCCAAAGCACTCCATGTAGGGACCCTAATAATGGCATGTACCCTGGTTTCTGCCACTCTCTGCCTGCTTCTCTGGCCTCCCCGTGTAGCTCCTCTGGGCATACTGTGTACTTCCTTCAGGGCCTGTGAGTTATAAACGTGTCTTTTTCAGTTTTTCTTTTGTGTAACTGCTGGTCACCTTGGAATACCAGTGGCTTTGCTTAACCTCCCTGGCGGTCTGCTTATGTCAGTAATTTTGTACCCAAAGTGGTACATTGTTTTGCATGGAAATTTGTTGTTTTATATTGTAGGCCTGTAATTCCTAGGAATTACTTGCTTAAATCTGTCCAAACAAGAGTCTAGTAGGCATCCCGGGTATGATAAAGTTTGAAACACAAAATCATAAATTATAATGTAATAAATAATTATTAAAAATAATATAATTTTATTCAATAATGTAATCAAATAAAAAACACTGCAATTTGTCATTGGCCGGCGTTCTCGTCGGTGTTCACAGGAGGACACTGCAGGATCGCAGGGAGCAGGCTTCTCTGGGACACTGCAGTGTAATCCTGAGTGTGGCTCGGGGTTACTGCTTCTGGCAGTGAAAATTAACCCCGAGCCACACTCGGGATTACCGCCAGGGTGCTTAAGATTAAGAAACATTTGACAAAGTTCAAAAAAGTGTAGTTACAAGTCCTATTTTTGAAATTCTGAATCACTTTATAAAATTCTACCCCATGTATTCTTTTTGCACGTTTTTTTTCTGAGATTATGTAACATGGATTTTTGTGGTTTTGATATACAGTGTATGTAGTAAGTAAATATAGTAACCTAATCGTGATTTAGGAGTAAGAGGACTCATGAGGAAGGAGAGTGTGTGTATGTATACACTTTTCTTCAGAAGAAAAGGTAAATGATGGATCAAAATCAGTAATTTAAAACATTAGATGGAGGCCAGCCGAGTGGCTCAGTTGGTTAAGAGTTAGCTTAAGAGCTCAAGCTCTGAGCAACAGGACCCTTGGTTCAATTCCCACATGGGCCAGTGATGCTGTGCTCCAGCTGAACTGCTCCTGAGCTGCCAACAGATGGCAAGGATGGCTCAGCTGGTGAGAGCACGTGCTCCTAACAACAAGACTGCCTGTTCAATGGTGGGCTACACCTGCCTGCAACTAAGACTGAACTCAGCACCTTGAGCTGAGCACCCAGATATTTAGTGGATAGAGCACGTGCTCTTTTTTTTTCTTTTAATTTTTATTATGAAATACACATTTTTTAGAATTAGTTTCAGCTGTATAACACAGTGCAATAGTTATACTAACATGTGCTCTTAACAAGACTGCTGGTTTGACTCCTGCATGGGATGGTGGCTACGCCCACCTGCAACTGAGATTGTAACAGCACCTTGGGCTTAGAGGGCACGAGCTGCCGACAGGCATCCTGATGGCGACTGGCGCCCTCCACAATGAAGATTGAAGAACAACTTGGGTACTCCCCCAATTCCCCAACACTGTTCCCCTCCCTCAATTACCTAATTAAAACAAAAACAAAACATTAGATGATTTATTGGCAGACTGAAACCTTATTTGCTCATAAAGTGAATCATTGTCTATACTTGTATTGAACTTCTCCCAATTCTCATGACTCAAATTGGTTTGTGTTGGGAGATGACAGAACAGTCAGGGATACTGAGGCTGCAGCAGGTGCTGCAGGCCTCTATGCCTGGATGAGCAGCTGGAAAAAGAGTGACTGGCTGGTAACAGCTTATGCACGGCTTGAACACCCCCAGAAGAGAAACTTCCCACAGACCCTGCCACCGCTGACAACAGCATCGCCCACCACAAAGCTTAGGACATTTATGGACTTTCCACCTTGGACTTGTTATCAGTTTCTAAATGCCTACTGTATGCTATACATACCCCAATCTCAAAACCCCCTATGCTTTAAGGGAATTGTTCCCTACAAAGAGGAAATTGCTCCCTCTATATAAACTGTGTATAATCAATAAACTGGGTCATTGCTTTACGACCAGTGGACAGTGAACCTCCCGATCCCAGCTTTTGTCTCTGTTTTGTTCTTCCATCTCCTACTCCGGTCCACTCAGGGGACCTCTAGGTTGCCTGGTTTGTGCGCCCCAGGTATCCACCAGGACGAGCGGGTCTCGTCAGGTTTGAGAATCTCCCATTGCAATGTTGTCTTGTTTACTTTCTGGTGTCTCATGTAAGAACTACCATATATTTTTCTTGTTCCATATTTCATGAAATACTGCATACATATCACTACAGGAATTTTAAGACTGACTTTCTTTTGAATTTAATGGTGTACAGAAATCATCTTGAAAATGGAAGTAATTCCACAGTGAGCATATTAAGTTGGAGTTTGTTTAGTACATCTCATTTTCCCCTTCAATTAGAGAAAAATACTAAGTCAAAATTTTCTTTATTGTTTTCACTTCGTATAAGTGATATCAGCAATGTTATTCACTGTTCTTTTCTAGTTTGTTCAGATGAAAAGTTGGTGATGTCATAAGTCATTGAGTTTTGGACATTTATATGAAGTGAGCAAACACAATGACATTGCTGTGTGTGTAATTGATACTCCATAATTAAGCAAAA